ACAACCCTCTTACTTCCCTATAGATTCACTTGAAAGGAGAAAGTAAGGCTGTTACGTGCTCTCATGGGGCTCTCGAGCATCAGACATCCCCCCTGCAGACTTTGTGTGTGCCAAAGAGCTTTCTTGGCAAACACTTCCTTTTGCAGAAACATTTATTTGACTCCGTTGCTAACTCCCTGTCAAGTTTGTGCATTTCAGAAGTGCAGAAGAGCGTGCCTCTGTATTATCTTGCTTTTTTCTTCTAATACAATACGTATTTTGCCCCAACTGCAAAGAAATTCAACCCCCAACAATGGTGTTACTAAGTGCCTTTAAATTTTAAAAATTGCTTGTTGCTGGTTAAAACTGAGGTGATTTAGTGCTACTGTGCTGTTTTTTCTTTAGTGGTTTTGCAGCTACTCCTTATTCTTCTCAAAAGTGATTGCTGAGTGTCGGACACATTTTACATCCCAAATTTGTGTTTCACCAGCTCTTCACAGGTCTTGCAAGAGGTTTAAGACGCTGGAAGCTTAAGATGCATTCTCTGTAGTTCGATATATTTGTTTTTGGACTATTATAAATTTTCTCTCTCTAGATGACATAACCTAGGTGTATGTGTCACACCAGGCTCTTATGCTGGGTTCCAGTCCGTGCTCAGGCTTCTGCACCAGTTTTGTCCTTGTTAGCAGCTATGGGAGAGTGTCCAAACCAGCTGAGCAGCTCAGTGACACTGGAGTCCATCAACCATGGGACAAATCTTGTAAAATCTGGAAAAATATCTTGCTTTTTGTCCCAGAAGAATGTGTTCTGCTTTATATTTTTCCAGTTAAGTTGTGGAGTCCATCAACCATGACACAAGTCTTGTAAAATCTGGAAAAATGTCTTGCTTTTTGTCACAGAAGAATGTGTTCTGCTTTATTTTTTTTCAGTTAAGTTTTAAAGAATTTAATTATATATATATACATATATATATATATTATAAGGAGACTTGATGGTAAGAGAAAATATCAATTGGAGCTGGGTTTTTGTGTGTACGTGCCCAGTATTTCACTTGTGATTTAGGAATGATTATGAAGATGGAAATAATTAACTGTATTAGTCTGATTTGCTTTGTCATAGTCTGTGTGTTTGTATTTCCGTATGAAATATGTTTTGTAATGTTGGCATTCCTCAAGGCTCTACATTGCCTGGTGATTCAGGGCTGTGAAAAGAAAAAAGTGATCTAATGTGGGCCGTTTAGAAAGAGCTGAAATGCATTTAATTTTGCAATCAGAGAAAGAACAAAGTAAAATAATCACGTTCGTATTTGCCCTTTAGGATAGGAGAGAAGCCCAGTCTTGGCCTAAGTAACGATCAATATTTCTGAATTTAAATTACTGACGTAGAGATTTGCTTTAAAAAACCAAGAAAATGGAATGCTTGCTTTCATTTTAAAAGCTTGATGTGAAGGGCAGGATTCTTTGCTGTTTCACTGAGTTTTTCCTTTGGATTGACTAGCCTGTCTGCATGTTTACATGACAAACTGCCCAATCTTTTCTGAGGTTCCAGTAGTTGCACAGGGGCTTGATTATTTCGTACACGAGTGCTGCTGCTGGACGTGTCCCATTCATTATAGCAGGTGATTGCCTCAGCATCTTCCAGCTTCCTTTCATGTCGTATTTTTAACTGATTTTGTCTAGGTGCCATCTGTCTCGACAGGTGAAACTACATAAGTTATTGAAACAGATGGCAAAGAGATTAATAGTGCCCAGAGTAATCGTTTGCTTGCTTAGATGTTCACCAGGTAATCTCCGTTGGATCTGTTATTCTTGCTTGGGAAGTGGAAGGACCAAGTTTACAGCGTCTCATAAAGATCCACCTCTTTAGTTGTGGATGTATCACTGGAGCAAGAGGTCTGCCAGCCTCATCCTGGAAAAACTTGGAGTCTTTGGGTGCTCTTGTGCTTTGTGTTCCCGGCCTGCCGTAAATCCGGCTGTTATTTCCCATAGTTACGAATGGTAAAATGATGAAGCAAGTGCCTGCTTCTCTCCGGTGGATACCACTGTAAATGAATGTTGCAGACTGCATTTGCCAACCACTTTGAGAGACCTGAATAAGAGATGCTTTGTGAATGCACATGCTGCTTTTACAAGAGCATCTAGTGTCTGTTTAAGATCAACTTTTGCAAGAAGTACTGAACTCGACAAAACTCCAAGGAATTGTGATGCACAGATTTTTACCAGAAAACGTTCTTGTTTATAGTGCCAAGGAGAAGTTTTCAGTAAACAAAATGCCTCTAAGTCACTCGGCAGCCGAGGAGCAGAGAAATGCAGAGTTCCGTGTCCTAGTCCTTTTCCTCTGGGGTTTGTGCACCTGCTGGAGACTTGCAAGGAAGAGCCTTTTTGGGAAGTACAGTCAGGGCAAGATGAGGATCCTTGGGGTAGGAAAAATATTCTGAAAGTTGTACACAGCGAGTGTGTGATTCCTAGCTTTGTGGATATTTACTTAATGGGATTATAACAGTTTCTTCTGCCCTTACGTTTGCATCACTCATCTGAAGAAAAGTTGTGTCCATCTCATTCTTTTAAATAGTTGGTGTTTAAGTTGAGAAACATCAGTCTTGTGACTTCAGATGTGCTGAGTGTTCTGTGCTTATTAGTACTGAAAACTCTGCATTACTCCATGTGAACGTAGTATTAACTTCTGCCTGTCATTATTTCACAGGTAACTCTATTTCAAGAGCTTTTAGAGATGCACACATACACAAATGCTGTATAATAGAATTGAGACTGAACCTTTTAAACATGATACTGCCTATATTTACTCATCTGATTAAGTAATAAAACTGCCCAACTGCTGCTTTCTCCAACATACAGCGTAGTTGGGCTCATTGCTCACCAGTGGAGACTCTAACCCCACTGAAAACCTGAGAGAACAGATTGGTTCACTTAAGGTCTCTGAATTTATTCAACTTTCCTGGCTCCTTCAGTAAAATAGGACTATTCTAGGAGTGTTTTGTTCCGCGGAATTTTAATAAGTGTCACTTATTTCCAGCTAGGCATGTGATATCTATTTTTCTTATTAATGTGTAAAAATCTTTTCTTAATTGGATCCCACTTACACTTCCCAGTCTGTTGTTTTCTGATGTTTTTGCAGTTTATTCTTACTACTTACTGGCCCCACAATACACGTGGGCGTTAGAGGTGTGTGAAAGGCACGCTCCTCGTTGAATTTTGTACTTGTGAGAACTGACAATTCTGGAAATCCTTAATGCATCACTTTCCTTTTCCACTTTGCTTGAGGACATTATTGATGCTATTAGACTCGAGACTGATTACACTCATTTTGGGCACATAACTATGGCATTTTGTAGCTCTCTGTGCCCGTGGTAATAAATACCGCAGAGTGAGTATAAACGTTTTTATTTCATTAAACCAATTTACTCGTAACTGATTTGTGCCTTTATCTTGGCCGTGGAAAGAAGTGTTCCAGTTTTACTAACGTTTTCACAGTCTTCGCTGCCCCAGTTGAGTCCCCCTCAACTTAAAGATAGGCAAAATATTTTTAGTGCTCTCTGTGCTTCATATTTCAAGCCATGGACTGCACTGAAATAGCAATTTTTATGCTTCCCCTCCTCTTCACAGACAAAGAGGGGCATCTTGTCAGCATCTTCTCCTGGAGCAGTTATATATACGTACATAGATAAAACATACACACACACTGCACAACGTGCCACTTGGCTGGGCCTCCAGCTGGAGGTGTGGGGGGACCTCCAGAATTTATGTGGGCAGAAGAGATATTCCAAATTGGGCAGCGCCTCCGGAGTCGGACAGACTCCGGCTCTGCACTGGGGCTGCTGCCTCCCACAAGATGCTGAACCACTTGGAGCAAAGAGCAGCAAGATAGAGGTGGCCCCGCTCTTCTAATGTCTTTTAATCCTTTGCTCTGACAGCAGTAAATGGCAGCACCCAGAACTGCACGAGATTTAGTCCTGTCACATCGATTTGTGTGTTAAAACTGGCAAAGTCCCGTGTTGCTCTGCAAGAGTTCGGAGTTTTGGGGATGAATGACCTGGAAATGCATCCCCAGGAGCAGGGATGCGGGCGCCTGCTTGTCCATCACCGCTACGGCCGCGGTTTGGTTTCATCAGGACGACTTCCGAGATTTCATAATGGACTGTAAAAGATTGCTCTGATTTAAAACCTCCCTGTAGCAGGTTGAGTACAGGAAAAAAAAAAAATGCTCCAGCATTTTGAGGGTTTGGTTTCTCTTCTAATCTTATACGTCTGATTTTGTTGTTGTTTGTTTTTAATTGAAATGTTCTCTCTGTGGTGCCGTGTTTCAACGTGTCTTTTCTCAGGATGCTGCTTAGAAACTTGATTAATGTTTGGCAGCAGGGGGGAAGGATGTGCGTGGTACCAAGGTTTCTGTAACAGATGATGTGCGTTCAGCTGCTTTGTAGCCATCCCTGAATTCTCTTTCAACTGGTATTATTATAGGAAGTTTGTCTCTTTAGTCACCATCAAATAGTATTGGGTAAACTAGCTCCAAAACAAAATTTGGGGATGTTATGATACAAAGCCAAGTCTCAGCTTTTATTTTTACTCTCTTTTGGGGGGAAGAGAGGGAATGACCAGGACTACAGAGCAGAGCAAATAAAATGAGGTATTTTCTTCTCTCAAGCTTCTTTCCAGGCTGTCCTGGGCCCTGTGTACATCTCTGGCTCAGTTGGCTTTAATTAACCATGAATAATGGAGCCCATTCCACTTTACTGTGTGTGGGTCTCCATGGTCTTTCTGTTCTGGGCGTCTGCTCTCGTTTACAGCTGGGAGATGCTGCTCTCTCTGTTTTTCCATGCATCTAAAGGCCCTCATTACTATATTCCAAATCTGCATAGTGGTGGAAAACAACAGTGTCCTGAAAGAACACATTCTAAGGGCAAATTTGCTAAAGATTGCATTACGGTGAACATTGTTTTAATGATCTAAAATATTCAGTGCTTGTTCCTTTCTTTTAACTGCTTTTTTTCTTTTGGCTTTCAGCTCGGATCGGCTGATAGAAGAGACAATAAGGTAGGAATGAATTTATTAACTTCCATTATTTTCTGTACAGTCAGTATTTATGCTGAACTGTATCCAAAGCTATCAGACATTTTGTGTGTACAATAAGTATTTACAGCTGATAAGCATTATTATAATTAAAATGAAGTGTCATTTTTTTCTTTTTTCTTTTTTTTTCTTGTATTCAATCTTAACATAATGGCCTTGATTAATTATTATATTCATCCTAATTTAGAAAGTTTAGGTTTCTTTTCAAAGGCAAATAGCCTCTATAAAAACAAAAACAGTGATTGAGCAGAGTGGAGCTATCAGGTTGAGCGATTCGAGGACTAGTCCAAGATTTGAGTCGTTTCTCTTCATAATGGCACAGTTAAATAGCACGATAGTCTATAGCCCTGCAGCATGATACAGGTAAGGATTTAGTGGCCTGAGTGGTAATGGCTGAGGGATAATTATCTATCTTCTGGTTTTCACAGGGTTCAAATACTTGAGTGCTGCCCTCAAACTGAGCTAGTAATTTTAATGTTGAATCAACGCATCATAAATTACTTTTATCATGTGCGTCCTTCCCAACCTTCCGTTGTACTCTGGGATTTTGCAAACCCATAGTTCAGAGTGCCCAGTTTAATGGTTTAAATTGTTAGATTATTGTTTTTAAAAATAAAAGCGAGATTTGATTTTAGATAATGCACACACTGGCATGAGTGATCAAGAGGAATTAGTGCAGCAAGGCTCCGTGTCCATTAAGGGCTGGCTGCCTTAACTACATAGTAGGTTCTGTATGATTAACACGGTGGGAAAACGTGCTAAACCACAGTAATGTGCCGTGACAAAACAGGAGTTCAGTAAAGTAATGTGTGAAAAAGGATATAATCTTACCACAGTTAGCCTGGCGAACACACAAAAATCCTGGTCACATCTAATGCAGTTATTGTGAATGTTTGTTTTACTTTGGGTTCTTATCTTTTTCTCATTTAAAAAAGAAAAAACCCATTGCCATACTTCTGTCTCATGAAAACGCTTGACTCAACATTTGCTGAATCTCTTCTTTGCTGTCACTCTGGTAGCTGGTGCATTGAAAAGCTTCAAATGATTTATTTTTAAATTTAATATTCTGCAAAATGACTAATATCACGCGAGCTTTTCATCTACCCCATTGGGTATGTGTCATCTGAGAAGTTGGGCTAAGTCTGTGCTTAGCAAGGGCATCTGCATAGAGATTTACCTGAGCTTAGCAAGGGCATCTGCATAGAGATTTACCTGAGCTAGGGGATGCAGCCGTAGCGAACTGGAGCTCGGCACAGGCAGCTGCCTGAATATTCACCCTGCTTTCAAAGTGAATTTGGAGCCTGCTCCAGAGCTCTGGGGTGTCCCAACTCGCTGCCATCAGCAGGTGCCCTGGCTAGTTTAAAGCTACTTGGAGTTACAATCGCATGAGCTGTGGCCCTGTTGGCTTCCGATTGACCATATGGCAACTGCTTCACGTGGGATAGTTCCTACAACATGATTTACTGCTGAGTTCCTTGGTGCTGTTTGGTGAAAATATTCCTTTGGGTAACCGCTGTACTTTGATTTTAGGAGGCTCAATTTCTACCCTCCTTATTGCACCATCTATTAACTGTAGTGAATGATCTCCTTATCATAGCGGTTTCCAAAAAGCCTCTGTATTTTATTCTATAGCAAAGGGCTTGTTTGGTAGATATGAGCATTTAGCAGGACATGTAGTTTAATTTATATCAGTTTATATTATCTTAATTTAATTCAGTCTCTGTTGAAGCTAGGGTGAATTTTGCTTAACTCTTTTCCCCATCATACCCAGTAATTGCAAGTGTTTGGGCATGTTATTAATTGGTGGTAAACCTCTTTTTAGTGTGTTTCCCAGAAGATTTTTGTCCAACTTTTAATTAGTCTTATCTCTCGATAACCAAACACGAGATGGAACTGTTCAGGGGAAACTGCTACAGATTCCTAGAATGAAGTGAGATATAATTAGCCTATTCTGGCTACTAATATTGTTCCGTCTTCAAGGGTTACATCTGCTGTAATTCATTACTCATGTTATTTGGGTGCAATTCAGGAATTTGAGATCACTCTTTATTTATTTCTTTTGAAGAGCTCTTTTTAACCAGCCCGTACAAGCGCTGGGAAGTGGCATTTTGTGGTTGCAGAGGCTTTTGCTGACAGGCTGGGTGCAGGTGCCCCTTTCCCAGCACCTCTGCAGTGGGTGCTGCCTGTGAAAGCCTCTCTCGGGCTTCCTCTAGAGCAGATAAAAACCCAAATGCAGAGAGTGACGTTTCCTGTATGCGGTTCCTCCGCAGAACCAAGAGTTTCATGGATACATGAGCTGCAGTTTTTCACCAAATGAAAAATTCAGCTGTTGTTGGGCAGGGCTGTCGTTCCAGGTGTTTCGTTAGTACTAAAGTTTTAATCCATTTTTTTAAATGAATTATGTGGTACAGGTTCTTACTGCAGCATATTTCTTCCCAGAAGGAGTGGGATGTGCTACTTTGTACTGCAGTTCTTCTGGAACAGTGCTCACTTGCCTTGGACATATTTAAATATAGGCATGGATTTTTGCTTAATGTGTTTAGTGTTTTCAGGTTTTCAATTTTAAACCTTATCAATTTCTCAAAATAGCAAATGATTTATTTTGTTTTCTAACAGCTTTTTTAAAAAAAAAAAAAGTAAAGCTTTGCATGTACAATATGACCAACTCTCATGATTTTATTGTAATACTCTTTCTGAGTATTACAATACACCAGTCAAAAAACATATGAGGAAATAAGCTTATCTTACGGAGTGAGGAGTTAGGGAGAATAGATCAATATCCATTATCAGTCTTAAAGGGAGCCTTGCCAAGGCATCGGAATAGTGCTAGAAAAAGGAGAATGCTTTTAAAAGGGGGAATTTCTGTGTTACAATGCTTGAATATTTTAATAATGTGGGGTCTTGCGCAGGTAAAAAATAGATTCTGGTAACTAAAAGGCATTTAATCCTTCTGTGATAAAATGTTGAGTAGAATTTTTGAAATGTAAATAAATGGTGTGCTTGATCTAGGGAGATTACTGTGTCAGAGTGACTAAATGGGGCCAATAACGTGAAAGGGAAAAATATGATTGATTTAAAAAGCATCAGTCGGTGAGGAAATGATAGCAGTAAATAAGTTAATGAGAGTGTATTAGAGATGGGATTGAAACTTAAACTCTGTAAGGAAGGATGTGAGGAAACCACAGTTCTTGAGACTCTAGTTCTTGAGAGCTGTGAGTTCTTTTCAAGTTATTATTTTTGATAGTGCTTAAATTTAACAATCTGACATTTCTAAAGATAAATGCTGAGGTAAACCAGCTTGTGTTTTGAAAAATCAAAGAAAAATACTTTAAATTTTGGCTCTTCATGGTAGCTTAAAGTGGGCTCAGTCCCATCATGACATGGCATTCCCAGGGCATAGGCTGACAAAATTTAAACATTTTCCTGACCACACTTCAGTAAAATCTATTACATTGATGAAAAAAATTCAAAATACAGAGTAAAGTAAATAAAGAAGATTCTGATCTTGTAATATGTAAGCTCCCAAAAAGTAAATCATGCCCTTTGTTTTTTTGGTGTGGACAGTTTACTCATCAGACGTTAAAGCAGGAACTCTGTATTCCATGATAACCCCTAATAATTATTTCCCAAAGGTGTTTTGGAGGTGTCTCAGCAACACTTTATGTTCTGGCAATCATCTTGTGTTTCCACTTTAATGGATTCCTTAATGAGTCATTGGATGCATCTTTTGAAAACATGTGGCTTAATTCAGGAGTGGTTTGAGAGATGCCGCTTTCAGCTTTCACTGGGACATGTATCAGATTGGGGTGGAGGTGTAAAAGAAGAAGCTGCAATAATTGAGCAGCCCTTCCTGTGTGCAGCTGTGAAATCTTACTTGATTTTCCAACTCATTGCCTGGTACTTCAAAATTCCCCTAGTGCTTTTCTCAGTAAAACTCTAATGTTTTTATAGGGTCTTTTTGTTTTATTTTGAAAAGTGAAGAATAAAACTTGTATGCTGAGTTGCAAGTGTATCATATAATCTATCAAATGCTGTGTCTGTTTGATGCACATACTTCTAATTTTGCAGCCCCTTTTTCAGCCTTAGGTTCTAACTGGTTTTCGCTATCTGTATACAGCTGTGTTTTCCCTCCTGACAACTCTGATTTAGGCCCATGCTACAGGCTTTTCTCTCTATTCTCATGTAGAGCTTGGCCCAGTAATGATGCTGTTTATTTCTCACCTAATCTAAGTTTATACTTTCCTTTTTCTCTCTCTCTCTCTCTTTTTTTTTTCTTTTTGTAATTATCATTTTTTGATAATGAGTTCTGAAAAGAATTTCCCCTATAATTGAATAAATGATTTACATTTCTGAGCCAGGTAAGTTCAGATACCACAGAGACGAGCACACAGAACTTGAGGAATAAGAATATTTGCACAATATAAGAAAGAGCAGCATTTCCTGGCTGTAGCTTTCCAGATCTGAAGCAGCTTGTACTGCGCTTGGATAGCAGGTCTCTGTGCTTTGTATCTGCCTCTCTTTAGAAATAATACTGGTATTATGAACTGCAATTTTGTGTCATGTTTGTGTACAGACACCGAGGGTGAGCAAAGGTAAAGTGCTGTTGAAAACGTGGTTGTCTAGGTTTGGCAAAAGATATTTTTCCTATCCATTTTATTTCCTTAGAAACTGCAGGTTGAGATTTTCTTGTGCTTGCTCATGTTTATCCATGTTGTATTATTATACTTGCACTTTGCCTTGTATTCTTCCAGAACAGTTTCCCTCCATATTTAAGACTTAAGATATCCAAGAACTCATTTTAATATTTTTTATTCATGTAAGTATAGTCAGTAGCAATAGAGCTGTTGTATTCTGAGCTATTATGCAGCCGTGTTGTGTTTATGTCCTGGTTTGTTTATTCCTGCAATGTATGTCAGCCAAGGAGAACAGCATTTGTCAAACCATTCCTCCTAAGCACCATGTCTGCAGAGCCTAAACTTTTATATATTCTTTTTCCAGATGTAAATCAGTCTGTGCAGCTTATCTTGACAAAGCTATTGCATTCTAAGTAGCTAAATAACATGTTAGCTGTGACTATAAGTAGTAGCCTGCCCTTTCAATTTCTGTTTAATAATTTTTAATGGACTTGAAGAGAAATGTAAGGTAGGAAAAAAACCACAATATTCTTAAAATATTTATCAACGCAGTAATTCTTTAAAATTTTCATTTAAATATGATATTAAGAAGACAGCTCTTTTTTTTTCCAGTGTCCAGAATGTCTTAAAGTTGAAATGGAAATATTTTATATTCAACTGCATTGCCTTCTTATGTTTGGATAAAGTAAATACAGCTAGATCATGTATTATTAAAAAAAAAAAAAGTGTCTAAAAATCATATAGCTGTAGATGACATTCTTAATTAGGACCAAAGTTCCTAAATTTATTGTTTCTGTGCTGTGTTGAAGGTACCATTTGACATTAAACAACAACTCCCTCAGCTGCAGCTTGTGGAAAGCAGATTGGCCTTGCTGGGAGGCAGCATTAATGGAAGCGAATCCAAAATTTGTTTGGAATTGGAGGACAGTCCTGATCCCGAATCAAGTCGACCACATCAATTTATTGTGTTGATGGGTCTTAAAAGACCTGGCGATTGCATCTCCTAGCTTGGTTGTGTGTAAGGCTCTGTGAGCTACATTATGTGCTTGTGAAAGGATCCTTTGTGATTAAAAACATTTCTGAATTTAGAATTTATGCCCCAAAAAAGCCTTCAGTGGTTTTTTTCATAATGTTGAATTTTTTGTTTTATTTCTGATGGGACTGAGACTGGGCAGTAATGCTAGAAACATACCTGCTTCAGGAAGGTGCTTTTTCAGGTGTTTCAGGTTATATCAGAAGAGAAATTATTTAAGAGTAATGGATGCAAAATAATAGGGGGAAAAAAAGTGGTTTCATTCATATTGCTTCCCCCCATTCACTGTTTTCGACGGAGCGTTGCCTGCGCTTTCCCATTGTTTTAGCTGCGGATTATTCTTAGCACCAGCAACCTGATCCACTCTTTTTTCCCTTCTCCAGCATTGCCATGGCAACTAAAGAGAATATGACTTCGCAGAGAGGGATGTTGAAGTCAATACAAAGCAAAATGAATACCTTGGCCAGTATCCTTTCCTAAAGACTGCGTTGCCGGTGGGTAAGAGAAGCTCTAGAAAAGGTTTTCCAGTCTGTCATGTGGAGATCAAAACGCTTTGCGGTGCCACGTACCGTTTCGCTGGTGGTGGCCTTGTTACCTGACAGCCCATGTTTTCCCCATCTCATTTTGTTATTGTGACTACATCTTAGTGACAAACGTGGGGAGCAAGGTCTTCTTACTCAACTTTGAACGCCCTGTGTGTCACTGCTTAATTTTCACCCAGGGATGCGCAACGGCATTTAAAGGTATTCCTGGCTACTCATTTTCTGAAAAGTATGACTATATTTTGCTTTCTGCTCACTTTTTGCATTCAAGGCTGCCCAGAGCTGAAGCTTGGCATAGATTGCCTGTTGTTGTTGTCGTACAGCTGAGTGATTTACTGACCTGAAGATCCTCTCGTCTGTCACAGGCTTTTAAGGTTTGGGGTCTGTTAGTCTCTCATATTTTGTGCTCCTGGCTAAGGAACGTGCTGGATTGTCAAGTCATGCGTGTTTGTCATTTTCCCACTTGCTTCTCCCTTTCTACTGTAAGGATCCAAAAAACAACATTAGTATCATTTGATTAGATGGATTGCATCCTGAAGAGATGTAGTTGGGTGAGCCATAAATTTCATTACAGTTCTTAGCAACTGGCAAGAACAAAAGAAATTCAATAAGCTTTGGCCTTAAAAGATTCTTGGGTCAAAAGATGCAAAGCTCGGGAGCTTATTATCTTGTTGCCCGTTGTATTTTTATGTTAAAAGAAGTTTGACGCTTTTATGATTTTGCAGTACAAGCATTTTTCTCTTGTATGTTACACAGGGAATGGGGCAGATTCATGAAAAGCACCTATTTTCTCTATAAAATACTTTCAGTTGTTTCCTTCATCATTAACAGAGTTCCATTAAATGAATTCCACAGGTATTTCATATGCCTCTCCATTTTTTTTTTCATTCTCATTTAAACACAACTGGTTAAAGTTAATTAAGCTCCACACCTTGGGGATCTCGTAATTGGGGCACAGGTAGCTCAGGTGATTAAATATGGGATTCTGTGTGAATGTGATTTCTGAACTGTTTTGTTCTCCCCTTTCTCGTGCTGTCTCATTGCAGTTGTAGCCCTGTTAACTCACTATTAGGCTTCTGTATTGCATCTGTTTTCTCCACCTTGGGAGTCGTCTCCCTTCTCTTGCAGTATTGCTGACTTCCCCATGAGGCTGAATTTGGAGGCTCATTAACACAGACCCTCTCTGCTGATCTGACCTTAACTCAGATTCCCTCCAGATCGGTTTCCTGCAGTGAACAGCCTGATTCAAAGGATCAACCTTCGGAAACGACGAGATTCTCTCATCCTGGGTGGCGTTATTGGCGTCTGTACCATCCTATTGCTGCTGTATGCTTTCCATTGATGGCTGTTCCCCGTGGACTCTGCTAAACCTCATCACCACCATCCCTCCCCCCAGTTAAGGAAAAGTGAGTGGGGGAAGAGACAGCCTTGGACAGCCTGCTCTTTAGGGTGGCAGTCTCAGCATGATGTCTAGAGTTTACGGTGGTAGACTGCGACACTGGTTCTGGGTTGAAGCTGCAATGTTTCTCCTTCCCTGCTGTACATCTTCCTTTGGTTACATTTTGCATAGGTGATTTTTGCATTTAATTCCCTTGCTCACCGTGAGGTAAGTGAATATGTGGCACTTTTCAGTACCCCTGGAGCAGCTTCCACGCTCGCTGACGATGGGGAGGTCTGGTGGGAGGCTGAGGAGTGGGGACTGTGATTCCCCCAAGGCCAAGCACAGCACTGAACACTTGCCCTTTGAGAAGGATATTGCAGCTTTAAGCCGTCAGGTTGGTTTACTACAAAACACATGTTCTGTGATTGTTTTTTAATTCATGGATGAGAGAATAGTCACTTCTGCGTAACTTGTGCTGTGAAAACTGCTTCACACAAATTTCTCAATGAAAGGATTGTTCAGTTCACTTTTTGCACAGAATATGAATAAACTAAACTACCCTCTGACGAACATTTATAAGGTTACTTGTGGCTTTAAAGGGACTAACACGTCCTCCTTTGTAAAAATAAAGGGAGCACAGCATTCTAGCAGCTATTTACCACAGTGTTCAGCCATCTGAGAAGTGACCAAATACGAGTTCACCCAGAAGTAATCTTTTGGGTGTAAATAGTCTGATTTTGGCTGGCATCATAAAAGTCTTTATAAAAAAGACATGATAAGCAGTTCAAAAACTCTATATTATAATTTAGATGAAGTTATTCTAATAGCATTAATATTTTTACACTGTAAGTAGGATATAATCTGAACTGTCAATTGGAAATGGATAATATGATGATTATACCTGATGGCAAATGTATCTGTGTGCAAAATTTTTTGTTATAGCCCCTCAAAGTAAAGTGTTGAATGTATGAATGGCTGCATAGTCGAAGAATTTTATTTACACTTACCTTGGCGAGGGTGACGATGACATTTTTTGTTTTCATGTCCAGACATGCAACTTGAATCCTGTTGTGGTTGTGTCTCTAAACAAAGATGACCTTCGGGACTGGCTTTGATATTGCAGTCACAAATTACAGATTTTCCTGCTCTTTCCACTGCTCTTTTCCACCTGTCACCTCATAATCTAGTAAATTCAAGCCAAGGCACTGAAATATCTTTCCAAGAACTTGATTAATCCTTTTTTTTTTGTCCCCCCACAACCAATTTGCAGTGTTCCTCACAGATCCCATGTATTCCATTACCCCAAACACTGGACACCCTCCAGGTTCTGGGCATGGTCCATGGTCCCTGTTCTGCAGCACAGTCCAGCAGGACAGTCACAGTTTTATTACTGCTTTTTCTAGTGTCTGTGCAGTACCTTGTTGGAAGGAGTAATGACTTGTGCCTGTGTAGTGTGCAGAGCTACACTGTCTTACGTAAAACACTCATGTGGACTTGAAGGTTTGTTTGCAGAATAATAATTTTGTGTTTAAAAAAAAAAAGGCTACCAAGAAGTGTAACTGGTCATCTTGTCTTTGTTTTTAGAAAGTATTTAAAATTAATTCAGATGTAAAATTATGGGGCTTGTATTTTAAATAAAGGATAGTCTTCTGGTTGATTTGGAAATGTTCCTGGTTTGAAATAAAGTGTTCATTAAAGGGATTCATGAAAAACATTGCTGGATGAAGGAGGTTTATTAATTAATCTGTATTTTTGGGAAATTTTGGAAACCTCTGCTGATTTTTTTTTTTCTTTTTTTTTTTCTTTTCCAAAGGACCCTGATTTGGCAGTTGTGCTTCTGTTTAGGATTGGTAGGATTTGATTGCTATATAGCTGGCAATATAAGATGTGCGGTATCATAAATAAATTCATTTATTTAATCTTGTAACCAGTCTTTTTACTGGATTTAATCGATTATTTGGTGCATATACTTAATCTTACTGTGCAAAAAAAGCTGCTATGGAAAATATGTAGATTATAACGAATATGTAAACCTAATGGAGTTTTCATGTTATGCAGGAACGGATATATTTTAGTATAAAGACAAAAATATGTTGAGTTATCTCTGATAAAGCTTTATTGGAAATGGTTTCAGTGTTGGCAGCCCCTCTGGTTTTTCATTTGTGCTGGGATTGAAACAGTTTTGTGTTGGGAAAACGCAATTAACCTTGTAATGGCCCCTTCATCATCCTGCTGTAGTCTAATAACGTTTGGCTTCCTCCGTTGCTTCTGAAGTGCTGTGCCAAGAGAAGGACTTGCTAGTTCTCCTGAACCTTTCTAGCAATGTGCATCTACAGTTAAGGCCATGGACATGAAAATGAGAACTATGGATTTTAGTATTTAATTGCAGCTTGCTTGAATGTCTCCTGTTGCCACATATGTTCTCTTAGTTATTTTGTTCTGTGTGGTTCCTCTTGAATCCTCCTTTCTGTAATTGCTGGCAGTGTTGGAAGTTTGTGCCTCCACTAAAAAGATGTAGGCAAAGAAAATTGTCTTTAAGCCATAGAAATGAAGTAAATAGATCCAGAATGTTTCTACAAATCTCACCCAGAAATGCTCTGTTACAAGAGCAGGGCATATCATTTCCCCGTGGCCCTCATCCCCTTTTAAATTTCTTCTCCATTCCGACCAGTGCACAAGCACCTACTTCAAAGGTGTCCAGCCTGCTAGCTGAGTGATCCTAGTGATACCCTTTGGTCGTGTGCTTCAAATGAAGACTTCAGCCCTTGCTTTTCAGACTCTTTATTCCCTAGATGTTTATCTGACCCTCAAGATTGTTGGACCAAAGGGACGGGGTCCTGCCAGTGGCCGGTGGTGAGCGTTGCTGTGGCCGTAACTTATCCCTCCCCTTCCCTGGCACGTGCGAGCAGCAATGGAGCAAGGACTTGGCCACTGTGTGTCCCTGGGACCTGTTCCTGGGGCTTCTGGTGGCTCCAGAAGCCGTCCCTCCTGGGCGAGCACAGAGCTTCTGATCAGTATTGACTTCAGAAGCTGAATATCACAGGGTGTAAATGCCTAGTGGCTTCACTGCACAATCAACTAGTATTTTTCTTTTGTAACTTTAGAAGCCCTTCATTTTGGGAAGCCCTAAGTTTGCAGTGAGAAGAAAGAGTCAGATCCTCATTGCGAGTTGAAAATGGAAGAGCCAAAGGTGATTTTTTAGGTGGTGTGAAGGTTCCAGATAAGTCTGTTGGCAGCCTGTCCTCCAAGGCTGCATTCCTGAAGCTCCCAAAGCTGCTGCACAGGGAGTGAAGGCTGGTCCTCCACTTGGGGCTGTTTCCTAGCAGTTTACTCAAGAATATATGTGCTGAATCAAGCAGCTTGCTTCCTGGGATCTCTTGGTGCGTATCCTTTTCCTATTTTTTTAAACTTGTGTTCAGAACAGCAAAGAGAATATCTGTATGATTTTCAAAGGAGGAAATAATTCCAAAACTGTGACAGTACAGGGTTATGCAGGAAAGGAGACTGAAATGAAGGACGGGACACGTTCTGAGCTGAGACACGTTCTAGGTGACATCTGCAAATCCTCTTGTTGCTCTGTATTCTCCTGTTAACTGGATATTTGAAACCAATGCAGTGCTTTCAACTCTGATGCATAAGCAGTTGTTGCTTTGTCTACTACTGAGTGAGGAAAGCAGTTTGAATCAACACTCTGTCAAGACAAAAAATATACTTTCTCACAAAATATCCCCATCCAGCCCCTTGTAAATTGGTTTTTGATTGCACTTTCTGATATTTTGCTTTTCATACAGCTTCTTGAAACTTACATTATTGTAACTGTAATTTTTTTTGTTCTCACCTATTGTGCATTCTCTGTATGTACTATAAAAGGCTTTGATATGTAATTTAATAATAAACTAGAATTCTAAGCAAGGTGCTTGTTTCTTTCCCCATGACAATTTTTTGCCTCCTTCCCCTGCAGTGAAGGCTCAGAGGAGGTTCATGAGCTCCTCTCTGCAGTTCAGGGTTGTCACGAAGTGTAAAAAAACTGATTTATTTTCTGGTTTTGTCCTAACTAACAGGTGGGAAGGATCTTCGCTGGCCAGAAGTGCTCGGCGGGCAGGATGTGTTCGCGTCTGCGTGCATGTGCGTTGCTCTCTTCTCCCCTTTTGTTTCAAGCATCCACTTCCAAGCGGGTTGAGTCCAGCGATGATGGTTTCTTTTGCAATGTTTTGACAGATGGATGCAAAAGTAGAGGTCTTTAAAGGTAAGCTTTAAAACGTTTATGTAAGTCTGTGGTTTAAAACATCCGATTCCCAAATATGCACCAAAATCGATGTTGACTTGAACAGTCTTCTG